TTTGTTATTCAGATAACAAAAAACTTTATTGAGTCATAAAGCTTAAACTTTTACACATTATATTAGAACCAAACACAAGGACCCACTTCAGAGTCAGTTTTGAGGAATAATGACCTGCAACACAGCCGATCCGTGTTCATCACTACTGAACACCTTGGAAAGAGGCCGAGGTGGGAGCTTTGGCTTCGTGGATTTGTCGGGGCGTTTAGGTGGCCGATCCATGGGAATGGGGAAAGGAGAAGGTGCTGGAGGGGGAGACACTGCAAGGGCTGGTGGAGGAAGCCTTTCATCTGCAACCCCAAACACAGATGAAGATCTAGTGGTGAGGAGGGCTACAAAAAAACTCAAATATTGCTCCACTAGCTACAACATCCTCTTTATTGATCATGAACCTCTTTTAATGTTGTAGGGAGTTACTGTACACACCTTCCTGAACAGGTGGAGCAGGAGGCCTTTCCTGATGAGCTGGAGGTCTTGGAGGATCCCTGGACTGATGTCTGCTGCTCATTCGGGAGAATCTGCGGCTGAGCCTGCCTGCCCCACTGTCATCACCACTCGCCCTGAAGGGGAGAAGACCAGGAGATCAACCATATGGATTCACCAAATCATGAAACTTTAGGGAATTTTAGAGGTTAAAAAACAAAAACAATCAAATCCAAAAAATCAGCAGGAATGTTTGAAAGTTTGAAGTAGTTAATTAACCTTTATTGTGCAGCTCTTTCCCCAGAAACACTTCCTTAACTCTCACTTGGTCTATCAGAAAAAAGCCACAATCTAACTTTGGCTCCTTTACTCTTAAACTTTTGATTCACTGATAAAACTTTTCCTCACTGCAGCTTATAAAACTCCTCCATGTGATTTGCTGTCTGAACACGGTGTGACAGAAAAAAGAGGAACCAGGGGACTTAAGTCAAGAACAAGACTTCTCTTTTCTTAAAGCTAAGATTTCAACAGAGTAATAGTGAAAGGACAAGAACAAAATACATCTGATGCAAAAAAAGTTTATTGCTGAAATACATTTACTAAGGCAATAAAAAAAATTAACTGCCAACAAGTCCAAATCTAATCGCTCCAATGGAACTGCAAAAATAAGAAATAAAAATGACAGGTTTTGGGTTCAACATCTCTGCACCTCCTGCATCACAAATGTTTTAAAAACCCTTTAGTTTATCTTTAAAAAATCTTATCAAAGAATGCAAAATCTAGAAATAACCAATCCTCTCAAAGATTCTAAAACTAAAACCTTTTTTGTTTCAACAGTTTTAGTAGAAAATATTTTTGGATTGCAAAAACAAAAATATTAGAGCGAGCACCACTTTAGCCTTTACCCCCACACCAGGCTGAAGTCCCTGTTCATAAAAGGAAAGCACAATTTATAGTGTTTGACAACTTTTCCACTGGGACTTAAAAGGAAGGCAAACCGTGGGCTACTTTAAGTTGTGGTATCAGCAAAGGGGATTCCTGCTAAGTGAGGTTGACACCCTAAAAAGAAACAGATCTTCTGCCAAGACGTGGAGAAACCAAATGTTGCGGAAGTAAATTGTTGCTGCTAACATGAGGCAGCAAACAGAATAGAGAATCAGTGCTGAGAGTCTTTCATGCCATCTAACAGATAAAAAGCACTGCCTGCACACGACCACTGGTTCACTTCCTGTCTTTTTGCAGCAGTTGTTTGCCACTAATGTTCCACATATGTGCAATTTGTCAAAAGCCATTCCCTCAAGGTGTGAGGCTGAGAATTGTATTCATGGCGACAGCTTAAGTGTAATCTTTGTTGAAATGTCCTTCCTTACCCCTGTTCATTGTCACCTGGAGGCTGAGGGCTGTTGTTGCGCTGGTGATTCTTCCTACAAGGAGAAGAAACAGAAACCAGAGGACTGTAATCTAAACGTTTTCAAGCTGTTTGCTAAAAAGACCAAACTGATAAAACTGCTTCAGATGTCATCTTTTGAGATGCCTCACAAAAGGGTCAGCGTGTACAAGTTGCACTACTTGCACTCGTATCCATTTCATGCACCATGATTTTACGTAACCTTTGTCACTTCTGTAATTTCTGTTGCTCTTCTGTTGTTGTGTATCTCTTCTCTACTTTTACAATAAGATTTCAATAGTTAGCAGCACACATATAAAATCTGATAGTTGTGAAAACACACAAGCAGAGTGTTCTGGTGAAACATCTTGCCTCCCACACAATAATAATTACTAAAGTGGTTCTGCGTGTACTGTTGCTTGAACAGTGTGTACCAGAGTAAGTATGTGGAAGAAAGGATTCTGCAAACAATTTAAATTCTTTTAAATGGCTTTTTCTTTAACTGTTATGTCTGTTGTTCAGCAGTGGGAAAAGTATTTTTAAGTGTCTTTAGTAGAGTAGGAACTTGTATACACATGACCACCATATTTAGTAAAACTCAAATGGCTTCCAGCAGGAAACTAAACATATGGTATAAGTTAGAGCTAAAGGCTGGAGGGAGGCCATATTTAAAAGATGACCAAAAAGTTGACCTTTTAAAAGCGAACTTAAGTAGGATGTAACTTCTACTGCATAAATCGTTGAGATCCAAAACTGTAAAAAAACAAAAAAAGAAGTGTGTGACCTACCTGGAGGAAAGCTTCCTCAGCAGACTGGATCCAAGGCCCCCCTCCAGATTGTCCATGTAATGTCAAAGAACTCAGAGAAGAAGATGGAGCAGAAAATGTCTGCTGCACTGCACCAGCTGGCTGAACAGTGGTAGCATCTGAGCGAGTATCAACGTCTCTTAACCGAGACCTCAGTCACTTCCTGTGCTACTTCTCTTTCTCAGTCTGCGTCTTTTCCGCATCTTGCTGCTCTACACCCAGTTATGTCACATTTGAGATACTGTCAGTGTTTTGGTGCAAGATCTACAACCTGTTTTTAAGTTTTACCTCTTTTGGGGGATTTTGTAATAATTTACTCTCTGCTATTTGTTACAAAAAAAGTCAAAAACCATTTGGACCTAAAAACGGTATTATATTTCCCTTCCATGGTGTGACATGTGTGGCTGTCTGACCTAATTAACAGCTTGAGGAGGTTTTCAATCAGACTTGATCAAGCTGTTTGTTTTAAAACCATTCTAACCCATCGATGTCGTACCGTTGGGCATTTAAAGACTGATCAGCAGGGTAATCCTTTTAGGGTCGAATGTTAATGCATTAGAAAAAGAAAAAAAAAAAAATAATCAAAAGAATATGAAGATCAAGTGTGGCTTTACTGTGACTCTTTACACATTTTATCAACAGATTTAAAGACATAGGCTCAGATTTAGACACATACACCTTATTTAAATGAATGATCCTCAGTAAGTTTGAACCTTTTGAGACTATTAACTTTCTGGCATATTTCTATTAGATCAGAGTTTTGCAGACAGTGAGCATGTGATAAATACTCATTGGTCCTTTTTTCCACACTTATGTAAACTGCATTTTGCATTTTGAACATTTTATGCTTGCAGGTTAGTAAGTAGTGTAAGGCCACCAGTTTGTCACAACTATGAGTTCATGCTCATCTTCTAGGCTCCTGGAGATTCTCTCCTCCTCGTGTGTAAACCTGTTCTGTGCACTCCAGCCAACTTTTGGCACTTTAAGGGTGAAACCAACCTGAGCAAACAAACTGCCTGCTATTGGCAACTTATCATGAAATCCTGCATCTTGAAACAGTCTTTATTCTTTCTGGTTTTGGCTAGTAACATTAGCAAATCATCTTTATAGTTATAGCTGTTCAGAGAACCAAATATTTGTCTGATCAGGTAAGTGTATTCTGTTTTGTTGCCGGACAGCAACTTTTAGCTTAGTTAGATCTGAAGTTCAAAGGGAGCTCAGACTGCCGTCCTATGACTGTTTCAGGGATGGAGACTCTTCCAAGTTACATGGTGCATCAATATGCTGAATACTGACCTGAAAAATGTATCGTAAATAAATGTTGATATACACCAGAATAGAAAGTGCAACTGATACTGCAGGTCCGCTGGATAAATTTCTTATTTTTTTTTTCTTTTTACAGGTTGTTATTTATGAGGATTTCAAAATTAAGCTGTTTCACTTTTAGCTTCAGTCATATAGGAGCTAAGTATTTATCTGCATTTTCTTTGGCTACAAATAGCTCTTTGGTTCACTTTATATTTCAAACAATAAATGTTTTTTGATCCATTATTTTGTTCCCTCACCTCAAAGTAAAAAAAAAGAATAAAAATTAGATCAGCCACCAAATAAAACTCAGATTAATGTGATTCTTAAGCCAAGAAAGTGTCCCTTTAGATACAAAACCAGTTTTGATGTAAAGCAGGACCTAATTGGGGTGTATGGAAAAAAAAAATTAGATTCTGCCAAATATTTGAATATTTCATTGGATAATATATTTGTTACCTCAAAATACAGCTGAATGGATCTTAGATATAAAAAAAAATGTTAATAGGCAAATATCAATTTCCTTTGTCATATCAAACACGTTTTGGGCATTAAAGCATCTAATTTACATCGTAAGTCTAAGGGAGAGGTCAGAGCGCCGGGAGCGGTGCATCAGGGCGTTCTTGCAATTAGAAAAGCTGATCCAGGAGTTTTTTGAGGAAGATAGGCACAACATGTGAGCTGTTATTGCGCTGTCTGCATATGAAAAATAAATAAATATCAAGGGGTTAGGCTCCAAAGGTTGAACAAAAAGCCGGACGTTATGTAAGATACAAAGAAAAGAGAGCAAGCTCTTATAATTATTATTGCACTAAAACATGTTTTATAAACTATGGCGAAACAACTTTTGAATACCTAAATTAACAAACAATCTATATTCACTTCTAGCATGAACAGTAGCATGAAATCCCTCACGAGCTGGCCACAGCAGAGAGCTCTCAGCAGGGGTTTCCAGCACTGCTGGCCAGAAGTATGCTGGAGATCTAGCGCTCCGAACAAGAACTGCATATTTTAACAATGTTGGGCACGTTACTTTGAAAAAGTAATTAGTTATAGTTACTAGTTACTTCTCCCAAAAAGTAACTGAGTTACTAACTGA